CATTATTCTTCACATGACACACACAAAATATTTTCTTGAAATATAACTTATTAAAGTTGCATAATTTAATGCTCTTTCTTTGTTTTAATGAGCATAACTTTATTTATTATTTTACAGATTACACAATATTATTCTGTTTTGTAATATTTTGTAACCGCGGTTTCAGATCTGTTTTAGTTTCGTTTCAGAGTTTCGGATACAGCAACAATGCTATACATTTGATGAATCCCAAATACAAGAACATAACAGATACAGATAAATACCGATTGATTCTATTGATTTGTAATATGTACTACCAAATATTAAGCGTTATTCCTATGTATTTGTTGTTGTTTCTTGCTATAGTAGATTAGAGAATAATTGATTTACTCTCGACATAAGAGAGAGTAAGTAACTTTATGTTTTACTTACAACATATTTTTCATAGTTTGACTTGTATTTTTGGAACACATGAATACTGTGATTGAACATGGATTTTTGTAATGTAAATTAAGTATTTTATTATATACATTTTGTTGACATGGTACCTGTTACCTATTTTAATTATCAAAATGTTCTCATAATGCTAAGTGAATAATTATTTCCCCAACTTAATTTTAATAAATAATTGTTATTATATTGAAATAAATTGTCAAGAATTTTATATATTGATGTACATGTATTGAGAATTCTTATTATTATACATTGTATTTGTAACATAATTTCTTGGACTGTCAATAAAGGATATATTTTGACTTATACTGTCTATGTGTATTTCTACAGACTATAAACAAAATAGCAATCCTTCCCCCCAAACAAGCACTTCGTTAAAGAAAAATTTTACGTTATTGTGTTGTATTGTGTTTCACAATATCAGATGTGAATAACAAGTATTTTCTGTATCATATTGTTTAATGAAGAATTTAAATTTTAGCGGCTTTCCATCTTATATTTAACAAACAATGGCATGTAATATTGGTCAATTATCACCTGCATAATATCCAACTCAATGTGGTTATTAATAATATCCTAAAAAATATTTTTAATCAATAAACTGCATTAAGTAAAGGTTAAAGTTTATTCCCGGTATAAACGGTCCTACACCTGTCCCAAAATATGGTCCGCACCGTCCAAAACATACGGGTCGCGGCCCTGATACGGGTCCACCCTGTGATTAATAATTCGTTTATGCATACACATTGGGTTGTTCCCTTCCTCCCTAAAATTTTTCCCCCCAGGATCGATGATCCCTGATTCATATATTAACATCTACAATAACTTTGATGGAATCAATGGAGGATTTTTTATACAGTTTACACGTGTGAATGCATTTGAGGAAACCGTGCTGGTAAATGGGAGGCCACAACTTGTTTTATTGTTTATATTATATACATGTATATAGATTTAAAAATAAAATAAGAACAGATTTACCTGTTACTTTTTCGGAATGTCTGAATTTTGGTCAGATTATGGACACATTTTAGTTACATGACATTATTTTGTTATATATTGGTTGAATTGAGATTAGAAACTGGGGTTAGATTCAGATCTGAATTCGAAATAATTTAGAACGAAAATAATTGGTTTTATAATTTATACTTTCGTTTTCGCTGAAACCTTTTGGAAAATTATCATAGATCTTACTGTAATTTTCTTTGTATCCTAATAAAATCTGTTTAATAAAGTATTTCATCAAAATTATGATTTCAGATAACCCAACATGTATTTTACAAATGCTTAATAAATGGGTGTTGCCTTTCCAATTTTTGAAGTTTCAAGTTTTTTATTTCAACTAGGCCCAATATGATATGGGCATCATGCTGTTTTAAATTAAATAAACAGTAAAAATTTCACAAACAAATCACAGAACACTTGGAGTATAGACCCCGCCTTTCCCTCCCCTGAATATAAAAAAAGTAAAAGTAATTATCTATTACAAGAATAAGTTTTCAATTTTTGCTTATATTAGTATGAGACGGTTAAGTGTCTAACACATGAACAAGTTTCAACCCGGAATTTCATAAACGTTTTAAAAAAAGTCAATTTTTTACCAACGCTTCAATTTCCTGAAGATACTGTAACATAGCATTTCCTAGTCAAAATGCTTTTAGAAAAATTAATTATAAAAAACATTAATAATTTCAATAATTTCAATATTCATAAAAAACTTACATTTTTAATAAATCATTAAAAGAATTTCATTGTTTGTATAAATATTTTGATAAAAGTTACTTTTAGATTCTTAACTGATAAATTTTAACAACTCTAATATAAACATGTCATAGTGGTCAATAAGGAAATATTATCACCTTTTGATTTTAATACTTTATGGCTTAATTCTCAATTTCCTAGTCTTTTATTCAACAAGCCATGTATGTACTTGATTATCTTTTGACATTTATTGCTAATATTGCCTTAAGGCTTAATCACTATATGACACTCTTTCTTAATTTATATTGTTGCTTTTATATTTTAAATTAGTCTTATTTTAATTTCGGAACTTAGAACATCTTAAAGTCTTATATAGAATTTCGGACATATAACATCAAGTCTTAACTTAGAAAAAATATAAGTAAAATTAACTTAAGCAAAATTCAGGTGCTAGCTGTGAAATATATGTGTTGACTATATGATTATTTTGTATGTTGAGAACTTTTCAATGGGCTATAAAGAAATAAATGAAATAACATCATACTGGAACTTTTGAGTTATAAAATAAGTCATCATAACAAAGAGGATACTGGATAATAATAATACATCCAGTATCCCCACACACACCCCAACCAACCGAGGGTTTTCGTGTAGGGCGCTCACTACGCCAGCGAGTATTCCCCAAACGACCCCAAAGCGAAGGCCCTGCGGTGACCCTTGGCTACAATAACCAAGCTTCGAAATGTAAACACAACTGACCAACATATATTTTAGGTATTTATGTTAACGCAATGCCATTTATTTCTGGTGTAAATCAGTCTATGCATATATTTTTAATAAATATAATGCATGTTATTTTCAGATCGTACCTTTCTTCCAAGCTTTGCACTTTTAATTACATTTTCCTAACCGTGTCACATGCTCTTTCCGAATTCTTGACGACTGGAATGTTTCCCGTAAATTACAGCGGGAAAAATCGCTGGGAAAAAGAAATTCAATCGCAACTACTCGGCCCTTTCCGTCAGTCTTCTTGATTTGGTTTTCTGTACTGATTAAGGGAAGTAACCGTTGCGGGGTTTTGGTTCTCCGCATGAAAATGAGAGCGCAAAACAGTGCCGAAACTCATTCCAGTCGTCTCACATCAAAGGAAAAGCGTACGTTGTTATCTTTATGAAATTATGATATTTTAGGTACTTTTTTTTTAAACGTTAAAATAGCGGAAAAACAAGTTTTTTATGTTCAAGGTACGTGACCAGGTCGTAATAATATGCAATATATTTTGGACGTACGGTTTGCACGATAAAATTACACAAGGTGTATACAAGTGCGGATCAAGGAGGGGAAGCCACGCACATAACCCCAACTGTCCCTGTGAAACAAATGAGCATTATCCTCAGGGTACTTTATACCGGGAGGTACTTTGTACCGGGAATGTCCAGATATTACAAACAATACTTACATAAAAAAATTCTTTTGTATGCAAGTGTTTTTCACATTAATTTCATACAAAACATAGCATTTTTTGAAGAAAATTCAAAGTTTTAATGACGCTATTCACATAATGTGTTTTAAGTATAAAAACCAGTAATATTGCTAAAGATTTGGACACAACATGATATTTTGAATGTGTGTGCAATGCTTATCAAATTATTACCCTTTAACTGTGTGATAACTGATAAATATTGAATAAAACTTTAGTATCATTAACAGTAATGGACCATTTACATATGTTTTTAACTTTTTATTGATTGCTTAAAAGCCATTCCTGGTATTAAGTACTTAAAAACAAAAATGGCTGCCACTCATATGATGTTATTGAACAGAACAATGATCCAACACTTGGAGTGGGAGACATTAGAGTCACGACGGACCAAAGCCCAGCTGACCATGATGTTCAAGATCACCAATGACCTTGTGGACATACCAGTCAGCGATTATCTCACCCCTGCCCCGAGCCGCACTAGAAGTGACCACTCCAAGAAGTTCCATCTACCATCAACATCTACATCGTACATACAAGAACTCCTTCTTCCCTCGTACAGCCACAATATGGAACAGCTTACCTGCCTCCGTTGCAGAGGCCCCTGACTTGGTATCCTTCAAGCAGGGGCTATCAGCCCTCACATTCTAAGTCGCCTTATGGGCCCAGCTACAAGTACCCAACTAGTGATATCCAAGGCTGTGCCGGCAGCGGCCACCGTAACCGGAGAGGTTTGGGTTGAAGAGGCGAAATATAGCTGGCCATGACTTTTTGTCTATATCTCTACCTTTGTACTATCCAACCTCTTCTAACTTTCTATCATTTCTTGTATATTTCTTTTTCTTGACCTAGCACCACCCGTCGCGTCATAATCAAGTGTGATTGCGCCGACGTACAATGTAGATGTAGAGAACTATCTTTTTGATGTATAGTTAAATTTTCTTTTGGATGATTGTTATTTTCATCAAAAAATGGTACCTTCTACAGAAAATAACTATTTTATCCTAGATTTTTTTCTGTATTATATGATGGTGGGCCTAATAAAGCTTACACTCCCGGTAGATAGTACAACCAGGATAACAAAATAATACAGATGTGTAAATAAAGCTTGAGACAAAATAATTTGGATGATAAATACAAAAATAAGACTAGAGATACTTTAATTATGAATGACTTTACAAATGAGTGACTGAAACATCTATAACTTATAGTATAAGTATTAGCCTAATGTGGGAGTTCCCCCAGTTTTTCATAAATCTACTTTCGTTTTTAATTGTTAACTTTTTGTAATTTGTGTTGGCACATTAGTTATTTCAGTTTCATGAAGTAATCATTTCTTTTCATTATAAAATATGTAACATAACGGCTACAAGATTTAAAAGATACTTACATCAATTTCTTCAAATTTTAAGAAAAATCTTATCCGGGACTAACCTCCGCCATACTGATATTTTCTTCAATTTAACAGCGCATGCGCGATTCATAAAGGCCTCACAACACTAAATATTGTCCTCCACTTACCAGTACCTCTATGGCTATATAGATTTCTAATTTTCTAAATAATGAGGCAAAAATAGCATGAAAACTTTGGACTTTAAAAAATAATAGATTTTGTTTTGATTGTTTTTCTATATTAACTAAAAACTCAATGGTAAAAATGTATTATATAATGATTTACATAAAAGTATATATAGCGTTTCCGTAAATGTGTTCTTAATGCAATAAAATTAAATATGATAATGGCCTAAGCATTTTGTTTTGGTTAAAAAATTACAATATTTATGTTACTTTGTTATAAAATAAATCTAATAAAAATGCGATACAAATGTTTGACCGGTTCCAGTGCAGTTTTTCAACTTTTGGTATGTATAGCTGCATACAAATTAACAAATAGTTGGTTTAAAAAATGTACCTGCTAGCTAGTTGATATTTGATTCTACTTCAAACCTAACAATTATTAGGAAATATAATTTTATTATCTTTTTTTCTAGTAAGAATAATGCTTGATTGAATCTGGTTGGGTTTCACCAGTTCCGAAGCAAGTTCCGGTGCACATAACGTTACAAATGCCATTTGTAATATTACCTCCGAAGAATTTGACTATTTTTTGCGAGCCAATACTAAACTAAGTCAGTACACTACAAATGTCCAGTCTTATTTATTATTTTTAATATTCATTCGGGTATACATGTATATGGTATTGCAATCTTTAATGCACCACCATGCTTGGCGTGAGATGAAGCAGAACTGCAATTGCATTGCATGCATTTGATTTTTGTCATTATTTTCTGGTAAGTTCTGTTTAAAAACAGGATCGTATACAATGTCCAGATGAAATAAGTTTTTGATTCGCAATAATGCTTGAACAACACTCATTTTAGTCCCATTACTGGTAAAATACTTTTTTATAGATAATCTATGTTTTTTTAATTTTATCCATATTGACAAACAACTTTAGTTTAAATAATATCTGTCAACACTGACACAGACATCCATGGCCATGTTTTTGTTTTCCTCTATATTCTGGCAATTTTATTCATTATTCAATTATATTAATATTACACTACACGAACAGTACTTGTTATAAAATAATAACATTGTAGGATATTTTAAATACCGACTTTCCTACTATATAATAGTGGCCTTCAGTAAGCGCATTTTAAATAAATGATTATAATTTAATACATTTACCTCAAATAAAATGTTGGCATACTTTCTTACATATACTCATTCATATATTTCAACATTAAAGAACATTTTATTTCTGATAAGAAAACGCGGAATTGTTTTCATTTGGGTACAGTCTGATAATAAGCCCGTCATCAAAAATACATGTACGTGTTCGGAACTGGTCAAATAGGTCTCCTGGTTTTAACAGGTGATACAAATATAACAGGGCCTCAGATACTTTACTAAAGGGCCTCATTATAGTCCAGACACAGGCTTAATAAATAATTATGTATATATTTATTTGTTGTATATTGCACATTTTTTTATCTTATACTGTAATGCGCATGTCCATTATCTTATCGCCACTTATATATACATTGAACAATCAGTGGTCATAAAACGATAGAACTATATAGCATCACGTGTATGTGCTAATTATATATTACAAGTGCACACTCTGTGTATATTAATTATTAACCCATAATACATTATTTAAATAGCGAAAGAATCCCTAAAGAAATCCCAAAACGACAAAATTAAAAACGTTGCAGGCTCAGTTTGATTGAGTCTGTTCAGGTAAAGAATTGGTAAGTGCAAGCTACCGCCCACGCCCTCTAGCATCGCTTAAGCAAAATTCAACATTTAAACATGAAAACAGCGACATTTTTAATTAAGAAACATCCGAAGATGCGTTAATACGGCGGGTTTCATGGAAACTTCATTGTGGCATGTTCTTGCTTTCCATGAAAAGCGTCGTATTGTCCCAAAATAAGACAATGCATGTGCACTAAACCATAAAACGATGAGCGGAACTGAAATTAAATTAAATTTAAAAGGGATTAGAGGCTATGCATCACTTCCGGGACTACATATGGATCTTAGAATTGAGCTTTTGTATAAATTAAGTAAGGTCTGGAGCTTATAGGTGTAAGAGGCAAAATCTACTAGTTGGATGGATAAACAGTTATTTATTGGAATGAATTAAGTAAGGTCTCGAGCTTTTAGGTGTAAGAGGTAAAATCTACTGGTATGGATGGATAAACAGTTATTTAGAAAATCGACAGCAAAGAGCAACGGAAATTTCTCAAGTCAGCAAACTGTTATAAGTGGAGCTCCAACGGGAAATATAATATGACCTGTTTTCTTTTTTTATATAGGGTTAATGCACATTTTTTCGTGTTATAACGTCTGCAGAGTCTCCAGGAACGGTTGGTGCCCGAATCCGGTAGGGCGAGGGCTCCAACCGTTCCGAGGGACTCTGCAGACTTTATAAAATTATAACACTAAATAAACGTGTGTTGACGCTATTATAGCATAAAATTCTAAAACAGATTCATGATGTATATTTAATACAAAATAAATAAATTAAATCTTTGTGCTTGGACGGTATTTATCCAATTCTACATGTTTACGAATGCGTTTTATTTTTCCGGGGCCAACGACTTAGGAAATGCAATGCAATGCTCAAAACCGAACGAAATTACGAATTTTAATTGATTTTACAAAGCTTAACACTGGAGATTTATTAATTCAAGAAAAAACATTAAATTACTGTACCCAAGACATTTCATGACCCTCAGAAATTCAGAATGATTTCAGATTCACGGTAGAAAAAAGATCAGTTTTTTTTTGTTTCAACTTCAAGCATATAAGTTATTAAAAAAAATCAGACACTAAACATTATTCTTTCAAAGAAATATAAAGAGCATTTTTCAATATAAACATCATTAAAACAGCATTTTCTCAAATTCATTTTGTGCTATCTTGTTTTGTAAGTTAATCTGAGGGTTAAACTGAATGACAGAAATTTGTTTACATTGACAACTGTCCGTTTCTAAGAAAGGGCGACAACCAAGATTAGCGGCGATGTCTATACGACGTATTTCCGGCATAGTTACTTGAAAGCTGTTTGAGGCCCTCGAATCAACAATTTCAATATAACAAGAGCGCATGACTCTTTGGCAAACAGGCCAAATCGTCATTTTTTTGTTTGTTTGTTTACTGGGCTCTGTATGTATTGCGCATAGGTAAAACCGGGCTATAACAAGAGCGCGTGACTATGTTAACACATGGTTTTGGTCCCGTTATAACATGGGCAAAAGAGGGAAAAATATCCGATTTTATGCTACAATAATTTATAAATGACTTTACTGAGGCAGTATCCTATACCGATAAACTTTTACAGAAGACACTAAAATATATTATGTCATAAATAAACATGATGAAATTATATTCAGGATGGCATTTTTAAGTGACTAGTCAAGGAAATGACAATTTATCTTAAATAAAAAAGGCTAAAGCAGCAAAACTTTGCATATTAGGTAAAATGTACCCTTTTTTCACGACAAAATAAAATATCTAATTGTTATCTTTATTAATCAGATAAATAGATAAATTGATAAGGCTACTAGGGGCCTAAGACTTATGGTTATGTTTTTACCTATATGAAAAAAAGAAATATTTTTACAACTTTTCAAATCACATGTCTTTACATCCATCACCTTAGCAGATGTGCGCGATTACAACGAAAATCAGCAGCATTTGTTAGAGACCCTGTAAGGTAATTTGGTGTGATTTTCATTTTCGTTTTGGAATAAAATGTTTGAAAACTGTTGGCATCACAGGTGCTAGTCACATAATCAAATGTTTTACATAATCAGCCTATATATGTGTTTTAAGATTAAAGTACATTGCCCATATAGAAAATAAAAAAAGGTTTTATTTTACGCACCTGTGGATGGCATTTGATACCCAATATTAGAAAATGGAATCAAATGAAACCTAGTGACCATATAAGTGCATAACAAATATTCAATAATTAATTGAACAAACATTATTTTTAATCCAGTTTCCACGCCTCCATTTGATACGTTCTATAATCAGAAATTTCCACACGAATGCAGTAACTGCGAGACGTAAAGAAAATCCCTTCCCTGGTTTGTCGCTGTTTATGTTAATACTTTAAATAAAAACACCCTTATTTTATGCATGGAATGCACTCATGTATGATCAATCTTTACGATATCACACTTCAGGTTTTTTTTCCTTCTATAACAGGGACTGATATATGGCCCCTTAACAATTCAAAATTGTACTTTTTTCACAAAGCGGTAGAAAAATTTCACAATGTCAAGAGAGATTTCACAAAATATTGGACTTTGTCTTCGAAATACAATGTTAAATTTTCGGTAAAACTTGATTTACACCAATTGAAATAACACATAAATAGTTGGTTTTAATCACGTTTGTTGCGCATGTTGACCGGGTCAATGTACCGACAAGAATAGAATAGAATAGTGTTTATTTCCAATTATGAGCCTTCTCAGGCATACAATTACATAAATTAAATATCAGTACATTAAATGTATATGTAAATGTACATAAACAAAACAATAAGATAGCATAAGCTAATTCTGATTTGATAACACAATTAAAAAAGGACTAGTAACTATATGCATTCAACAAAGGCATTTTAAATGACAACACATAAAAGAAATAGAATTTGTAAAAAAGCCTCATCAAATAACTAACCAACAATATCTTTAGAGATGCACATCGACAAAGACTATTGATGTTAATAAATAACTATAATTACTAATTAAGCAAGTTCTTTTTATTGTTGTACTAAAATGGACTTAAATGACCATTTATACAATTAGCTATTGACCTATATGTGCATATTAACATGTTTTACACACATTTGAAGGTATTTGACCCCTAAAATTCCTGCTCAGTGATACATACATAGAACACTAGTATGTGGGAAA